ATAGTCCGAATTTACATGTAATACATGATCGTACTGGTCCTGCGCGGCGTCACGCGTCGCGCAGCTACCCTAATTAGTTAACAGTGCAAATAATGAAGTAAATATTTTAAATTATTAAATAACCAATGTAGTTTAATGATATATACCGGTAGTACTTTATACTAGGAACGGGAAACCGGAGCACAAAACTTTAATGCTTGAAAAATCTGATCATTTATGTTGCGGATTAAATTCTTCAGGGACGTTACAAATGGAAAAATCACAAAACTACGTTCTTGATATTTCAATTATAAATGCATTTAAATCGTAATGTCGGCCATCACAGACATAGAAATGTGAGTTCTCCGCTTCGCTCCGGACAATTGCTTATATTTGGCTAATTATTGTAAATTATAAAATTCCAAAATATAGTAAAATGACACGTTTCAGTTAAGAAATAATTAGATCGACATTGCCATCGGTAAATCCTTGTACGAATTTTTCCCTGCAGCTCCATTGTAATAAACTAAGAAGCATCATTGAATTGAGCCTATTTAATTATATATATATATATGCATTTTGAATGGACCTCCGTTTAATGTAATGTAAAAATTGCAACTTTTAAATACAAAGAAAATGGCGCTTTAAAACTGTCAAATCTCACATGCAGAATTTTTTTCTGCTGTACGATCATTGTTTTAAAGGGACAAACTAACAATATGATATATAGACACTTTTTGTGTTCAGTATGCATAATGCGTATATTAGAATTCCTAATTCACGTTTTTAGATTTTTTTTTTTTGTAAACTTAAACTTACAAAAAATTTTGGCGTCCAGCAGTACTGTACATGGCGCATTCATAGTAGCGTCATACGATGATGATCAGTAATCATGATTTTTTTTTTTCTGCAGATATATGTATGCAATGATCGTTGACGGAAAATTGCCGGATTCAGTATTGGTCAAATTATTGTAACAATTGTTAGAAAATCGTAATAAAAAAAGGAAAAATCGAATTGCACAAAGATACCAGACGTGCAATATGTATTATGCGTGCATACGTACGTACGTACGTACGTACGTACATATCTCAACAACGAATATTCGTTAATATTTATTAAGGCATTGTAAAATTAATATAGTAAGAACTTGAGATAATTGTTGTGTCTGGGGTAGCTATCTATCTGATGCAGCCACTTTAGATATTTAAAGTAACACTCGTTCAAATCTAACTACTCTAAATGCAAAAATTTATTTGATTTTATAGATTAAAGTAGTTTCAATGATTCGAATTATGGTAAGTCATAGAGGTTAAAAAATTGCCTAAATTAAGTTTTTTAAACAATAAGAGACTATCCCTATCCCCTTTCTAGTATATAAATTTCTGATATTCTTAAAGCTTTAAAATAAAATTTTTTCTCTTATTCCAAAAGTATTTCGTATTAAATGTCAGCACCTTAATCACTGATACAGAATTTATAAATTCATAAATATGTTTAAATATTTATAACGTACTCATTTTACTACTAATCAAGATAAAGGTCTAGTATATCTTATTAAAAATAAAATTCGAAATTTATTATAGAAAATTGTAATTTTTTTAAAAAATGTCCGTTTATTTTCTATACATGCACCATTGCCTTAGATATCAGCTGGTCTAATTAGGTTATAATTAAGGGATGTAAGTATGATTTAGGCTAATCAGCGCAGATCAGTTAATGCCAGCTAAACAGCCAATACGTATTTGAAGTTCCTTATATGCAACTTGAAGCAAATTGACATTCAAGGCACGGCACATATAATGCAAAAATAACAATAAAAAAAAAAAGGGCATTTAATTTATGAAAAAATAATTTGTACTGCTAAAAATATCAAATAATAATATTCATTAATTATATCTTGCTTAAATTTCAATAGACAAAATGAAATAAGTAAAATCATATTCGAAAGTCAATTGTTCTATGTCGTGACAAAATTCTTAAAATTTAAATACATATATCAAATTGTAGTTTTCTTAATCAGAAATGCGGTACACTATAAGGTTTATATCGCAGCTAGTTATGACGTTACTTTACAGAATAAACTGTAACATTTTCGTAACATTTTCTCTGCACCTCTGGTTCAGTAAAAGTGTCACATGTGATATCAACATAATGCCGTGATTTATTTAATCACACTAAATTAAATAATTTCGGACATAGATGCAGAATTATTACTTAGTTACGTTCTGCAACAAACCGGTTTATAAAATCAGCGGCGTTGATAAATCTGTATCAATAGTCTCTGGCGATTATGTGTTTATAAAAAGGTCCGTAGAATCTGCGTGATAAGAATTCAAAATAAAATTGTGTAATCTTTCTTTTACCCTCACCTATTTTGTTAAAATACATTTTGTTTTTATCTTCTGCAACATGGTACAAGAATGGTTTTGAATGATTTGATTAAACGAAGCATTTGTTCGGCTAATTAATGCATCAGGCGCCCAAGTTTGCAAATTTCAATTAAATATCAACTTCAAGCACAACATAATAACATCAATTTTCTTCTATTTTCCGAATATACTCAAATGGCGGAACCACTGATACTATTTAAACAATTATTGTTTAAACACAAAAATCTATAAAAAATCTAGCCTTTTACCTCTTTTCTTACTGTAAATTATTTAACAAGTTGTTAAAATTATGGATCAATCTATGGGTCAAACTATTTACCCTCAACAACAAAATCATAACGGTCAGCCACAAAGACCCCGAAATTTTGGTACAAGACCAAATGCTCAAAACGCTGAGAATTTATTCGCTAGTAATTTATTAAACATTCAACAATATAATAATCTTGTTGGAGGCACGGATCCATTTTTAAGCACACAAAGAATGCACGGTGCACAAATTTCACCACAAAGTAACCAATTGCCGGTGCAGTTATTTTCAGGGGTCTCTTTTTTACATGAATAAGGTTATGCATAAATATTACTTTGAGCTGGTACTTATACGATGAACGGTTCACATTTTTTTTATAGCCTGATAAGTTGATGATTCTAAATATAAAAAGTATGTAGTTAAATATACTAAATTTTCCAATTTTTTCGATGAAATTTTAGAAATAACTTCTGACCAAATACAAACATAACTATATTATTATACATCATGCGTTATTGAAATTGTATTACTGTTTTTTTTTATCGTAAATACAAGATTTGCAGTGTCACGCAATTCAAATTCAAGATACTTCTTTTAAATTGATCTTATAATTTACTATTTATATTCTAATTAGGCAAGTTAGAATTCAGTGTTAAGAGTTTATAGTAAGAGTATAATCGGATTTTAACTAGGGTTGGTGGTGCAAGTGGCGCACCACTGCTGCACCGTTAAGTTATCATATAAATTTAAAGCATTGCGCCAGTGGCGATGCCACCTGCACCAACAACCCTAATTTTAACGAAGTTCATATTTTTAAATAATGACCCTGAGCTACATCTGCAATAAACAGCAGACAATCCGAATATGGAAGTGATTTTCATGCTAAATTATATTAAACCTAGCTGCCGCACAAAAAATGCGCGGTTAAACCTCGGTTTTGATTGGCCAACG